GTTGTACAGATGGTAAACGGTTTACAAAGTGGCGCTTTCTTCTGTACTGAGTACGATTTTCTCTGGTACGAGTTGTTTGCGCTTTTACCGTGACGAATATACGTTCCATCGAATATCAGAGCCAAAGAATCTCTTGCTCCAAAGAGCTGTCTGACGAACTCTGATGCCTCACTCAGTCTGGATCAAGTCCTCTCGCGCGCGAGCCGAGAATCCGAATCCGACAGGGAGAACGTCTTTCTCCCGAATCGTCGGACCTGCGGAGATCCTTGAGTCGCTGTTCCGGGATGGAGCTACCGTTCCTGATATCAACGAAGATAGTGACGAAGACTGATTCGGGATCTATGTCATGCTCCTAAGTATCATCGTAATAAAATATAAAAATCCCCGCCGGTCAATTCGATCGAAGTGTAGTACCAAGGAGGGCGCGCAGCGTCTGCTCGATGCTCGGGAAGATTCAAATGTGTCCCGCGAGATCCTGGGTCAGAGTCAGACCAGGGAATAGCGATTGGGAGGGGCAATGGGCGTTTACCAAAAAACCATAGAAATCAGTGGTAGGGAATGAAGTGTTCGCGAATGAACCTATTTGGACTATTCCGATTTCGATGAAACTTGGTGTGCGTGTACATGGGTTTACGGGGTTTATTTGTGACATAGTGTCATCCATGTTCACGAAGGTCTTCGGTGTCTGGGAGCTTGAAGAAAATTAAAATTCGGAAAAAAATGATGATGAAAAGTACTGAGGAAAATGGGACCGGGCTAGAATTGTGGCATTTTTCGCCAGCTTTCCAACGAGACCAAGCACGACCCTCTAGCTCTTACCGTTTTCGAGAAAATCGCATTTTAAGATTTTTGAACTTTGACCTTTTTCTCGGAACTGGCCGCGTCGATTTCTGGGAGACTCGTGAAAAAGTCTTCTACTAACCGAGAGCTATCACCCTATCTAGTCAGTTTTCCAAAACAGATCGTAGCCGGGATCGCCACGTTATTCGGCTGTACCCTTTGCTTCAAGTCTTGACGAACGAGAACACGATGCGAACCGCACAAGCGGAGTTTGATGGCCCCGAAGTTGGGCAAATTTCGTTACACGAAAGACGAAGTACATTCGACCGACCACCTAAGCCATACTAAAGACGTTTTCACGTCAAAACGGTCCTCGCCAGAGAACTCCTGCCGTCAGCCGAGACTCGAGACGTCCCGCTCAGCTCGTCTCCCTGTGCCAGCGGTTGGCGGGCAATATTCAAAACTTGGCGCGCGAAGCCAGCGCCGTAGCTGTCAAGATGGCGTCCCTGGCCGAAACATAACAGTGACGCCTGTCGCCTCGATAAGTGCTGGAGGTTTCTGTATTTGGGAATATCTTCAGTGTGCGAAAGTGCTTCAGGTGGAGCAGATGAGGGTGAAAAAACGACAATGAGGAACACTACTCGATAGGGAAAACGTTTAAGTTTAATCCTTGAGTCCCGCGCCCAAATTCGCACCAGGAGGAGCAACCCTTCGATCGCCGAACCGACAAGGTACGAGATCTCAGAAGGCAGTTCCAATTTGAAAAATCCGTCATCTGGCGGCCCGGAACACTTCCCCGATAGAGGCCCCACTGCGAAGTTCCGAACTCGCTTTGGCTGGAGCTAATTCTTCAGTGAATGTGATTGCGACGGTAGCCCGAACTGGGTAGTCCGAAGGTGCCGCCGACAGGGTACGAGTTCTCGAGGTGCCAACTCGCCCTGGCTCTTTGTTTGAAAATCCTGCTCGATGCCTCTCTGATTCACCATCGCGGGTGAATACGGCACGAGGGAATAACAAGATTCCCCCGCTATTGAAATTGATTGCTCATAATTCATGGTTCGAGGGATATTTTGTAAACATTAGCTCTCCAATAGCGCAACGGTCATGCCCCTCTCCCATAGTTTTCTGTTTTCGTGTACCGGTGCGCTATCACAGTGACGCTTTCAGCCCGTATAAGAGAACTTCCTGCCGATACAAACCAGATTCCGTCCTGATTCTGATTCGGGAGCGAAAATTATGAGCGATTGTGGAGCGACTCTAATGGAATGAAAACCGAGGATTCGGAGCTCCTGTAGAGTCTTTCTGAAAACGAATGATGTGTTTCCTGTCGCGGGTATACGTGACCAGATATCCGACATACTCGAAATTCAGGGATTGAATAACATGTAGATTGAGGCCTATGATCGAAACAGGAGGCATTCCCCGGATAACTCCGCCGAATGCTTCCGGATCCCTTTCGGGAAGGCCGCTTTTCGTCGATGGGGACTGCAACATCTTCGGATGTTAGCTCTCCTTGGCCACCATCGAGTGAATTATCCAGTCTTTTTGGCTTCGCTTCTCATAATGCGTGAAGCCTCTCATGTTACGTGAGCTTTCGGATGTTACGTCACGGACGGAGTTGGGCCCGACGAGCTCTACCGAATCGAACCGTGCTCTCCTTTCCTTCCGACAATGAACGATGCGAGCAGAGTCGAAGCGAAAGTGCATCTTTCCACCAGATTTCCCGTCTACACAGCGTCAGCAAATTGTCTCCGCGCTTTTCCGACCCCATGGAAGCCCCGCAGTCGGCATCGAAATTGAGCTGGTTATTCGTTATTGCAGATGTTTTACGCGCATTTTGTGCTGGCCAAAAAGGGACCGCTGTCCCGGATTTGGCTGGCCGCGCATTGGGACAAGAAATTGACGAAAGCTCACGTTTTCGAAACGAATATTGAGTCATCGGTCGAGGGAATTCTACAGCCGAAAGTCAAAATGGCTCTCAGAACATCCGGACATTTGCTCCTTGGTAAGTTACCACCGTTCTCACGTCAGTTTAGTCAGCCGGGTCGCACCGGTCGTCCGTTATGTGAATCTCGTGTATTGATTCCTTCTGAACTCCTCTTCGATCGGAGATTTCTGAGCCCTCGTTTTCTATTGCAGGAATCGTGAGAATTTACTCTCGAAAAGCAAAATATCTGTTAGCCGACTGCAATGAAGCCTTCATCAAGATCAAGATGGCTTTCCGTCCCGGCGTGGTGGATCTTCCAGAGGAGAACCGCGAAGCCGCTGTTCAATCGATTACGTTACCTGAGGTTTTTCACGATTTCGATATCGGAATGCCAGACCTGCCTGCCATCGATATGGAGGCCACAATCACCCTGAATCAATCGAGAGCCGAAGACATTACATTGAAAGAAGACTTCGGGATGGGTCTCATGAACGATGAGGCCCAACTGTACGATATGACCTTCGACACTGAGGCCGATATCGGCCGTGATTCATCCCAACTCGACTTCGACTCGCAATCGGTGAACATTTCCGCAACAGAAATCAGTGTGGCCAAAGAAAGTGCTCCCAGTTTAGCAGTTTCCCAGTTAGCTTCGCAAAATTCATTAGACGCCCCTCTCAACGACGATGGTTTCGGAGGAAATCTCGATTCGGCCGGACTCGAACTTGAGAACGAGCCGCGTAGTGAACTTTACTCAGCAGGAGATGCAGCTAAATTGGAACCAGCGGATCTTTTCGACGACACCCCTATGACGCGTCGTCAGGCCCCTGACTCACATTTGACGGACACCGAAAGCGATATGTACGATATGGGAACAGGCGGGAGCATGGGATGCTCGCCGGCGTCTTCAGCGGACGGCGACGATCTGGACGACATCAACGTCCAGCCCCCGAGCGCACCTCGAGACGACGAGTCGTCGCAACATACGCAAATGAACGATCATATGACCCCGCTCGGGCTTCCCTCGAACCTGGGGCCGGACCTCATGCAAACGCCAATGGTCCCACCCGCGCCCAGAGAAGAACCCGAAACGTTCACGCTCGCACCGCTCGACACGACCGTCGAGCAACAGGCGGGACCCGCGGTCCGTCGTATCCCCAACCGAAAACGAAAACTTATCATCGACGAAGTGAAGAACATCTCCGGTGAGGAAATGAAGGCCCAACTGTCGGACACGTCAGATATTGTTACCACTCTGGATCTCGCTCCACCTACCAAACGTCTGATGCACTGGAAGGAGACAGGTGGAGTTGATAAGTTGTTATCACTACCTGCGGTTGAGAACCGTAACTCGAAGTACATTCAGAAACTCTACCAGTCACGCCTGGTGACGCGATCCGTGGAATCGGACGAGAGTCTAGTCGTTGCTCCCCAGGAAGAAGCTAGCGAAGGAAGCGATATTGCCAGAGATCTAGCCGACAGCCGCCGAGACGACACCATGCATGGAGGTTCGCTACCGCCTAGCACTCCAGCATCGAAACGCGCGAGAATCGACGATTTACCTCCCCCTACGCCAGGGAGGGATTTCAACGAAATGGGAGGCTACGCCCATGCCCCCGGTACCGACTACGGAAGCGCCTACACTCCGTTTACGCCTGCACCTGCGACCCCGGCGCACTCACAGGGCGATTTCAACAATACTTTCCCGTCGGGAATGGTGAGTACCTTAGGTCGACGTTCAGAGCATGGGCCCGAGTCGTCACATTCGATGCATTATCTGCGAGGGTCTTACATGGGCTCAAACGGGGCCCGAACGACTTTGGGAGGAGTCCCCTTCCGAGAGTTGGTGTAGCTCCGAATTTAATTCGAGTATTCTCCTCTTCAGAGCTCGATGAGCGGGGACGATCTTTCAGCCAACTTCGACTCGCTCCAGCAAAGTGGCAATATGGCCCCGCCGCCGACGCCGTTGCATCCACCCCAAACGCCAATGCAGCCCCCACAGACGCCGATGCCTTTGCCGCAGACTCCATTGCACGAGATGGACAGTCATATGGATGATGGGGCGATGGATATCCCTCATCACGACGATTCGGATTCTGATGATGACGCGATGCATTCGATCGGAGACGCCAACCACGACGAGCAAGCCGACGATGAAACATTCGAGGAGTTCGAGGAAAGAATCCAAAACCGGCGAACGGTTCAACTTTTGAAACACGTCAAACCCGTACTGGATTCTGGGAAGCCGATTCGTTTTGCCGATTTGGTACGTCACAATTCTCGGAAGCAGGTCGCCCAAAAGTTTTACACGTTTCTTGTTCTTAAAAAGCAACAAGCCGTTGAATTGACGCAACAACAGGCTTACGACGAGTTGTATATCTCTACCGGGCCTAAATATCATACAGCGTTCGCTTCCGAGTAATAGCGACGTCCGTGTAAAATAAGATTATAGTCTATATATGTACCTTTCAACGAAGATGGTAATTATGAGGGCCCGGGACCATATGCACGGATATATGCATGGAAGATACACACCCAAAAAATGATGGAGAAAACGTGTTTATACGGGATCGATCTAATATTGCGAGCAATCCCGAAGCCATCGCTGGAGTTGCTTGCTGTCGAACTTGTCCGCCCGTCGCGAAGAATCTTGCCCTCTCACCCATCCATCTTGAGGATATCCAAATCTGAGCAATTAATTTTGATGATCTATCGAAAGCTGCTCCCCATCGCGTTCGATATATGTCTTCCTTATACAATCATTCGGACGGAAAGACAAAATCTAATGAATCCTTGTATGACAGCAAATGCTTATGCGACCTGATTCGCTATTCAGACCATAGGTGGAGTGTTCGATTCAATGTCGAGCGGCATCGGAGCCTCGAATCGTACGTATCGGTCGTTGAGCAAAGTTCTCGCCCGCGTCGCGGAAGGCCGACCGCGAAGATCGATCAAGTTCGACAGTGGAGCATCCGGAAGTGAGAGTTCTCACAACAGCTCGCAGTTTAATATGAAGGTTGCAATCTGAGCGGATATGTTTTCTTCATTACTTTCGTTTCTCGTATATTCCGGGTCTTTTGATGACCGACGACCCTCTCGCGGAAGGGCCGAGTTCGTGGATCGGGGGTCTTGGTCCACTAAGATCGGGGCTGATGACGGAATGGCTTGCTAGCGAATTCGATGATGGAGAGAACCGCAAAACAAGAGGTTGGAAGTTGTGACGGGGATCCCATCCCATGCGATCGAGCTCATAGAGAGAGTACGTCTGCAGTTGACACAGAAATCACTCTGAAATCAAATCACGATATCGGATTCCTCAGCGACACGCCAAGAGTCATGGCTCGCTGCCTCAGGTAGACCATGATACCATCTTCTGTAATTTTATCCTTGTATACTAAAATGTGTAGTTATCTTGGGTTGTATTGTTCCCCTCCCCTATAAGTTATGTTACGGTTAGGTGTCCGCATCGTAGTTGGCTGTGGTGACGGCGGCACTATGGTCAGATTTGAATGTCATGTTCACATCTCGAAAATGGAGTACGGTTTCAACCCGGCGGACTCACGTAGCGCGAGTGCAAAAAACGGAAACGGACCGATTCGGATCTGATGCGAAGGGGGAGATACTACACGATTAAGCTGAAATCGAATATAAGGGAGAAGGACGTGTCGCGATGGCAGCGCAATCCTTTCATCAGAATGAATTTGTGTTCGGAGAAGATTTTAATCATTGCTCCTTGATGAGTTTGCCGAACTCGGACTCGTCGAGGAATCAGGAAACTATTCGTATTTTAATTTAGAGAGAGAAAAATTGTGACCCTCCAACGAACAACGAAATTTTTTCCCGGGAAAACCACGTATTTTGGGATTCAGAGGTTGTAGGAAAGGATGAGCCGCAACTACGTTCGATCAAAATGTCAGCATATTCGAATCGATGCGTTTTCGGGAATAAAGACATTCTCCCAATCGAAAAATGCCCCGAGGATCATTTTTTTCTCAACTCAGGTGATATACAGGACGTCAGGACGTCCGCGTCCCCTAATAGTGATTTCGATAGCCCTCGAGTCCCACACAAGAGGTCCCTTGTACCGGGGCTACCTCACCTTGATATAGCACCTCACCTTGATTCAAGCTCACACAACTCACCAGACTCGAGATTCATACACTGTGTCACCGAAGGCCACAGTGTGTGATGTTTCGTGAATTCATAAACTGTCAGCTTTAGAGCGGAAATCCCCAAACTCTATCGCCCGACGACGACTCTTTGGGAAGATTCTTGCCAGGAAAATCCGCCTGATTTACCCGATCGGACCGTCATGGATTGAGACGAATAGCATTTAAATTTTAAATAACACTTTATTCTCCACGCTTCAGTCTTTCACCACAACTTCTCGAAAACACGCTTGAAGTCGGATGCTCGACTGTGGATAGAACAACTGCGCACTCTGTGCCTGCGAAACAGCACATTAGCGCTCCCCACGGGGATTAAATAAAATTGGCCTATTTAAATCATTTTTGATAAGTTCGCAGGCTGCTGCGACCGCGGCCGTCGGATCGGGGTCTGCGAAGCTTTCGAATCCATGGAGATATCTCCAAACTTGTCAGGAACTCATTCTTATCGTCATGTATGTACATCGCTTCCCCAGTGGTGCTCGGATTGTGAGTCGTTTGAGCTGTTTCACGGGAGTATGATGAGTCCCGTCGCTCGTTGGACTATATACATGGTTTCCAGGAGGTGAGTAGCGGAAGTCATGAAATTTTCGATCGGTGATCGAGTCGTTCCCAAGGGATGAACCAAAGGTCTGAATGAACTAGAAATGTGTGCAGTCTATAAAACCGTCCTCGGCCAGAGCTCCGTCCTTTGAAGATAGCTGTTGATAGGAAGCTGATCCAAAAGACGAAACTGTAGCCACCCTTGAGAATGATTCCTCATCGTCCTCTTCTCCTTTTTGTTGGCTCACGAACTCGACGAAGACTTGGTCCAGAGTAGTCAATTGAATGGTGTGATCAACGATGCCCACCTGCAGAATCGTTCACGATTAGATACGGTTTCCCTGAGGTCTCTACCTCACGCGTAGTGAGCGAATACTTCCGTCATCCCTCCACCCACCTGTCGACTGCGGTCGTCTTGCAGCAGAGCGAAGAGAGATGATAGAGAAGCTTCTTTCGAGGGCACGGATATTTGCAAAGATGTTGCATGCAGCGCCTTCGGACGTGCGCTGGGGAACTTGCTTTTGATATGCTGGAGAACTGTTTGCTCAGTACCGGGCTCGATTCGTAGACCGAGGGTGAAGCCCTGCGAGAAACTGCAAGAATACTTTCAGTCAGGAAGACGGTTTGGGCGTCAGAGCTCTTCGTGCCCATCCAGATGAGGAAATCGAGCTTTGGATCGCGTCTGTCGATTCTTCTTATCGTACCGGTATTTGAGAGCGTCAGGACAGCCGATGCATCGGAGTCTTCCGTTAGCCATGATGCCCAGGCGGTTGCACAGAGCTTCACACTCTTCCATGCTGTGCGAAGTGAGCAACACAGATCTGTTCACGAGAGAGGTGTCGTTCGCTTGGTAAGGAGTTCCCCAAGGTTTTCACCGGTAGATTCCATATTGAACACATGTCTGTACATAAGCTCGATTCCTACCTTCCGGATTCGACGCACTTCTGGACACTGCTCCACAGAAGTCGCCTCGTCAAGGGATCCATTCCCGTCGTGGGCTCATCTAGCAGAACTAGTTGAGGATCTCCCAAGAAAGCCATCGCCGTGCAGACCTTGAGGGAAAACAATTCGGTTAGAGGCAATTTTATGCCGGATCGGGAGTCAACGGTGAATTATGTGACCGAGGACGCTCACCTTTCGACGGGTTCCTCTGCTCAGGTCGATGCATGGCCGATTAGCGAAAGACTGGAGTTGGAAAATGGCTAATGCTTTCTGAACCACATCGTATATTTCGTTCTCGGGGATGCCTTTCATTTGAGCGTAGATCGTCAGTTGTTGTTCCGGCGTGAGCAGATCGTCCACTGCGTCTCCTTGTGGACAATATCCGACGTGATGATTGAACTCGCCCAGCGAGCGATAAGCTCCTCCTTTGTCTTTGAGGAAGGCTCTCCCTGATGTGGGCTGTATGTGACCGGTCAGAATTTTGAAGAGCGTAGTCTTGCCCGCACCGTTCAGACCGAGAAGTCCGAAACAGACCCCTTTCCCGATCCCGAACGAAACGCTATCGACCGCTCTGTGGGGTTTCGAGAGACCTGGAAGGAGCCCGATATGTGAAGAAATGGTCCAGGCTGTTTCCCGGACTGCACGGTCCGCCTCCCGGCCATACCGATGTGGGGAAAAGAGAATCTGTCGAGGAGACGCACCGAAAGTTTTGTAATCCTTGGTGAGATTCACCAGGGAAAGGACATCGTCGCCGATGGCGGAAACCACTCGTTTTCGCTCCATCATTACGTCCGCATCCTCGTTTTGTGGGATTTCGGGCTCCTTCCCGGTGATTGGAATCGTCAACATGTTGTAATCCCTGATGATATTCAGGAAGAAGCTGGAGGTGCCCACAATCAACATCATAATGTAGTTCGCGCGCAGCAAGTACAACGGATCTTCGTAGACGTCCTGATCGAAGATCTCGTAGATGTCGGCCGTAATGTGATTCTTGAAAAGTACGAGTACGCCCTGGATGAAGGAGTACTGCGGAATAATCAGTCCGACGAGATGAATGCCCTCTGGAATCGACGAATTGCAAAGCAGCAGGACAAGGAAGATGCCCAGTCCCAAGAACAGATTCAGACAGTAAGTCACCTGCAAGAGGAAGATTTCAGACCGTGGCGCCTATGAATTTTTTTTCAGAGAATACATACGCCTCGTCTCCGGTTTGGTTGAAAATCATCGCGTAGACGGGGCCGGGAGAATCACTTACCATGAAGGCGATCGAGGACTCATGGAAAAGGTGCGATATGAGCTGCGTCACGGGCAGCGAAGAGAAACCGAACAGAAGAAGCAATAGGACGACGGCCGAGAAATTATCCCGATCCACGTATACTGGGATAGCGAAAATTCGAATCACTACAGAACACAGGAAGATCCCGATGAAGAGAACGAGAAGATCCCAGATCATGATTGCGCTCCAATACATCGTCTTAGACACCCCAGAACAATGCTGGACGGTCTTCTCCTCCTGGGCACGTTCGCGGACTACGTATATCACGGCGGAGGCTGGGATGAAGCCGAGACCGATGAGAATCACAAGCGCGACTCCGAGATCTGCCAAACGGCTCAAACTGCAATTGAAGCGGGCTCGTCAAGTAGTTTTCGGAGGACAGACTCCTTCATGAATTCTAGGATCATCGATCTAGGAAGAGTCAAGTTCCTCACAATGTTTCCCGGCCGAGTTGTTCGTGCGTCAGATGGAGCGGATGATTCACGACGCGGACGGTATAATTACCGAAATGTCTCCTCAGCACCGCGTTGGTCAACTGGTTCTGGTATATCGGCAACGAGTGATGCGCCGTATTGTCGTACCACACTTTGACCTGTTCACCATCCAGAGACCAGCCTCCGTAGCGCTTATCCGAATAATCGGCGTATGTAGCGAGCAGATAGTCGGATAAATCCACTTTCGCAGGATCGATGAGGAATAGTTCTTGCGTGCCGTTGAAGGATGCGACGGTGTCCACCGATCCCCAGTCGAGATTGCGTCGAGCTCGGTCCACGGCTGGACAGAATCCGTGCTGTGGGAGCGATCGCACTCGATCCCCGATACGGACGGCGTGCTTCCCGCGGAATTCTTTCAGGAGAGGTCTATCGGGTTGACTACTGAGGACCGAGAAGGCGGGTCTTCCGTAGAGGTTTATGTCGAGGTCGAGAGCTGGTTCCTTGATATTGTCCGGCTTCAGAGTCGTGATTCCCATCGCGAGAGCGATGAAGATGCACGGCATGATCACGGATGAGAACAGTACTTTCCAACTACGCATCTGGAAGTAATCGGGGACCCGTCAGAGGATTTGAGTGTTTCTCTCCGTGTCTCGATGTTCCCTCTTCTTTATCGTTCCCTTTTCCTGGCATCCTCTATCGCACATCGATCGAATACATCGCTATGATCTTCTTCCAAGGGCCAAAACTCACCGAATGCAGGGAGTGTTTCCATAGAAGAGCTCGCAGTTGCATGAAGGCCAACGCCATGCCTTCGACTCTTCGGTTCGACGTGAGATACAATGAGCTAGTTGATCCGGAGTCCCAAACTGGTGACGCGGAGCCATCGGAACCACCTCTTCCATCCGAGTCGAAATCCGATATTCGGGTGATCGATGACGGTGAAACATTGTCCGCACTCAGATTGAGGAATGCGTCTTCTAGAGTCGTGCACGACACCCGGTAGCTGTTGAAGCCGTGATAGGCCAGCAATCCGGAAGTATCGAGTTTTCTGAAGAATGCTGCGAAATCGAAAGCATCGCCCGCTTCGGACCGGTGCGGCAAATTCACAGTGACACAATCGGCTTCGTCGCCGATTATCGAGGCGCTCGGTATGAACTCTCGGATATCGTCGATGATGTCCACGGAGAAATGGTTCGAGGTGAGGCTCGCGTCGCTCGTCGACAGACCGGAGTCGGACTCTCGGCTCGAATTTCGACAGAGAGTCAACTGATAACCGCAACCGAAACGCGTCTTCAAAGTTATGGGGGATCCTTGACAAACGAGTGACCCTCGTTGAATTACAGCGACCTTGTCGGACAGAATATCGGCTTCGTCCATGTGATGCGTCGTGAGGAGTATGGTTCGTCGTTGACGGTACTTCAGCACGAGGTCCCAGATGTGACGACGAGCTACGGGGTCCACACTACTCGTTGGTTCGTCGAGGATGATCAGCTTCGATCCCCCGATGAACGACAGCCCCACACAGAGACGTCTCTGTAGTCCCCCGCTGAGCTCGCAAGACAAACGATTTTCGACGTGGGCTAGATCCATCATTCGCAACATTGTCCTCACCTCGGAATCGATCTCGTATTTCGAAGTTCTGCAGAAAATAACGTCATTGAAATACAGCATCGCGTTTGCGAACGGCAGAATATCAGATACCTCCGGATCTCCGGATACTTACGCTGTGCTCTTCAGTTTGGCGAAGAACATCAGATGTTCTCGCACCGTCAATTTGTCGAAAAGGGTGTTGTATTGGGGACAGTATCCAATGAGTCGTCTCAGCTCCGGTAAATTCCGACTATCGATGCCGTACGCTTGAACCCTCCCTGTCGTCGCTCGGCACTGACCAGTCAGAACCTAGAACAGCCAAATACGATCAATGCTCCCGTCTCTATATGCAGAGCCCCCTCAATGGTCAATGGAACCTTCCGCATCGAATTTTTAAAGCACGGAAACCCACTCTGATGGTCGTTGTTTTTCCGGCTCCGTTCTGACCGAGCAGCGAAGTGATCTCACCATCCCTCAAAGTCAGAGAGAGTTTATTGACCGCGAGATTCCCCGCGGGATACCTGACGAGGAGATCAGAGATCTCTACGCCGTCGCCTTTCTCGTCAATGGTGTAGATATCGTCTGAGACAAGCGGGTGAAGTTTCAGTAGGAGACCCAGAATTCGGTAGAATCAGATGGATACGGATAGACCAGTTTGCACATTCGTCTGTCCCGAGGCGAGCTTACCGTCGTCGGCATAGTTGCCTGTCCAGAACTCTGACTGCAGAACGAAATACCACTTCTTCCTCAGGTTCGGGTTGTTGCAGAACACGTGTCCGCAGTACCAGCCAATTACAGAGTAAACGACCGAGTCCAGTATAAGCATGCCGAGGGCGAACCTTTTGAGGAGGGATATCATTCATTACTTCCAATACTGAGGCTCTCTCCCGGGAGGAATATAATACTTAGCGTTACCGTTCGTGGGCGAATACCCAGATAGAGCTCGAACTCACATGAAACTCATCTCATCACCGGCCAGTGGACTTTTGAAAGCAGTGTGCCAAGTAAGACCTAGTGTCTGCTGTTCGAACCTGCATGGATAGAATTAACTTATAAGTGAAAGATGACACCTATCAATGAAATATGAGAGCAAATATTTCTGCCGGATGAGCGGTCATCGGTGCTTTTGAGGGGACTTGATCGATCGACCAAACCCGAATCGAACCTTGTGATGTAGAGGGAGCCGTAGCAGAAAGCGGAACTCATCGACGTACACAGGAGCAGCTTGTTCATGAGCGTAAGCGATGCTTCGGAAGTCAGAGCAACGACGAAGGGTATGAACGAAATGATGTACAAAAGAGTTCCTGGGGAGGTAGAAATACGCGTTGAAGATGGGCGCGGAAAACTCACTGCCTCCCTCCGAGAAATCGCGACGGGTGATGAATGAAAGAGATCGAGACGAAAACTCACCGGCCAATGCAGCTAGAGTAGCGTTGTTTTGGAATATGTTCGATACCAAATAACAAAAACTCAACAACGACAGAGCGAAGGTGCTGTAGAAGATGAACAGAAGGAGCAAGTCCGAGTTCGGCAGAATTACCGAGATTAAACCGGTACTGATGGCCACTATCCCTCCGAGTATTGCCCCGGAAAGCAGAACCTGGAATAAATAATCCAGATTCAAATGAGGCAGTCTTCCTCTTCTAATGGATAATTTTATATCATACCGAGTCCATCCCGTGTCCGAATGAACGCTCGCCAGTCCAGCTTACCCAGGCTGCGAGGTCGATCCAAGCTCTGAGACCCATGACCGCGAGAACCTCCTGTAGATGCTGTTCTCGATCCAGAACGCGCTGCCGGATGAGGAAGGCTACGCAGAACAACCATGACAAGAGACAAGCCAAGGGCACGATAGACTTCAACAGATGACCAGCCTCGTCATTCTCGTAGCAAGGGTAAGGAAACTGTTGAACGAACGTCGCCGGCAGATTGGCACGCGGATCGTCGCTCCCGTTATGGATTTGTCGGTTCAGGACCCTCAAGATCGCAGCGTCGACTATTTGCTGCATCTGTGAGAAACCTCTTTGGTATCGCATGTCCTCGAAGAAATCGGCTTTCGCCCCGGGTTTCCAGAAGAGGTCCTTGATACGATGGGTGAGAGGAACGTTGTCGATGTCCATACGAATTTTGTAGCGAATATCGTACGGTAAGCGCGACTCGCTCTCGTCGTCAGCGAATCCGATCATTTCCCAAAGACCTCTTTTGCCCCTGCCACCATTCTTCTGCGTTGGAGCCGCGCTCGGCGGGGTTCGTGCTGTGCGACCTTTCAGCTCTTTATCAAGATCGAAAACCATTGCTGCGATGAATTCTTTGCGTTTCGTCATTTTTGGGGCCAATATTTCCAACTCTTCCTCGGTTGGTACAGCTTCGAAACGATCGAGCGTGAAACAATGGGAGATGTTCGACACTAATTGAAGCATGTCGGCCAAGCCGCCGGCGTCACCGATCTGTGAAATTTCGAAATGATGTTCACCAAAGCTCCGAAGAACGTCTCGTTGCGGATTTATGGTCGAGTTGACGAGAATAAATTTTTCCATATAACGGATACCTCATTCTGAACGACGTTGAGGTCGAACGTGTCTTTCGTTATGCCCGCCGGTAGGATCTTCCGCATCAGTGGCTCCATAACATGGGAGAAAAGCGCGTCCTTCACATCATCGATTGCACTCTTCCGTCCGAGCATCATTTTCAAACCGTTTGAGGCGTCACCCCATTCGTACAACCGATCCCGGAAGTGTCCGATCTATGAGAGAAAAACAGCGGTCGGAAAAAGGGCCAGATGGATGGGACATTCGGTATTCCGTGAGATTGCATTCCTTTTGAGGTCCTGGCAGCATTCACACTTACTGATTCGAAAGTTCTGTTGACTTCGGTGACGATCAGTCGAGCTTCCTCCGTATCGGGAGCGTATAATAGTTTGCCTCGGAGGATGGGTTTCAAGAATCCCCAGATAATGGGACCGCCAGTGAGCCGCATAACTTGCTCGTAACCGTTCCGGCAGAACTCCTCCGGCAACTCTTCGATGTCTTTTTCATTCAACTGAGGTTCTTTTCTGGAGGGTTGCAGGATTTTGAACTCCTGCTCCAAATCCCGCAGAGGTCGACCGCAAGTCAGGCGACCGACGAGCTTCAACGCCACCGGTTCCGCTAGGACCCGGACGCCGTTCACGGAGACGTTGAGATTCGAAAGACCTTTGATCGTTTCGAGACCTACGACGTCTTTTATCGTAGCGAAGCTGTTCCCAACGTCAGACGCCACTTGAGGCGCAGCGTTGAACGCCGAAAATATCGCCACCAGATGGTCCCAGGTGAGATCATTTTTCCTCAGCGCCTTCACCAAGAGTATGTCGGCGACATTCTTCAAGAGCTTCTGTTGAGCGACGGTCACCAGGGGGTTCGGAGGAATGCCCAGCTTATCCACCGCTTGTCTCAAGACATTAGAATACTTGTCGAGAATGCTCGAGCTCGGTGGTAGGCTGAAGGCGCGTTTCAAGAGTGAAACGTCTCCAACGACATCGACGAAAGTCAATTTCCTGGTCTCTAGATCGACTAAGAAAGGTGATACGTCGAATTCCATGGAGAGGATGAAGTCGATGATGTATCCGCTAGCGCCGAGTGCTTCAATGATTGCCTTCCTCGCAGACTCTGGATCGTTCAGGACTTCCGTGACCTTGAATCGGACATTGAAGAGCCCCGTGGCCGACATCTCCTTCACCGCACCGATCGCCCTCCGGATCGCTTGGACGAACACATCGAGCTCGCTTCCCGTGAATACTTGAATGCAAGATGGGATAGTTACTCGTGGCCTCTCTATGAGGACCCAGGTGACCTATGACCTCTCCATGAGGCCCCTAAAGTAAAGATTTGCGAAATTGGAATTTTCTCGGATATACCTTCAGATATGGGCCACCCGAATGCGTGCAACGCTTCGTGTAAATCTTTCAGTTGGGCCTCCTTCAGAGAGACCAGCAATGCCGTAGCCGTTTCCAGGGTGAGAGGCTCCTCGGACAACTGGATGAACGGAAGCGCGTTCCTCCCGATTCCACCGAGCGCATCGAAAAGATCAGCCCGGAGGAAGGGTCTCAGCCAAAGTCCCTTCGTGAGCGTATCATTCTGGGATTTCCGGATCTGTAAGACCATGGAATCACTCGGTCACGCCTACGTTCCAGAGTCGATCCTTGCCGTTGCAGAGTCCTGCCAATGGAGCTCGCTCTCCTAAACCCGGAGTACTCACCTCAGGTCCTAGCCGATCGAAATCAATCGCCCGGAGAAATCGTTTCGCAAAGTCGTTGCTGCAGTACTTCCTGAGGGTGAAAGTCGATTTTAGAATGGGTTGGGGAATGAGTATCTCCACGCCGTGCTAATAACTCATGGCAGTCGGGGGGCTTTCAGAAGTGAGACTTAGACGATAGTCGGAAGCCTTACTCGGGCAGAACTTGTGTTGGATAAACGATCACGGGGTACCAAGATCCTTCGCAGAACATTCTCTCGAGACGCCTCGGCGAGCGGTGTAAGGAGAGCTGAAGGAGCGAATCGTTAGCTGAGGAATCAGAAATAGCCACGTGAGCGACCGATTCCAGGCTCTTATAAAATATCCTGCTATACGCACCCATCTTGCATCAACCACCGTTCCGTTGAGAGAAGGATCGTCGAGATCATCGAGTAGAGCCTTCTGGGAAACGAGGTCTTCGAATCGAGCGCGGACGGGGAATTCTCTTCTCAGCTCATCCAAGGGATCATAGCCGGGATCCCCCTTGATGCTAGGCACGGACGGAGACAGTCTAGTCCGTATTCTCATCGCATAAAAAAATTACTAACTGGATCCGCATTGCGATCGCATCGAATTCGGTGAGCCACTCACCCGCTGAACGCTGGAATGAATCTGAAGAGGCTGGCCGCTGTTCGAGCCACCTGAGCGAGCTCGGAGGTCGTGTTGGAGTTGTGGAGAGCTTTGAAACAGTTCGACAGAATTTGCGCCTCTCCCGAATAGACCCGCGACCACGTTGCGAACTGCAAATTCGGATTGGATGAGAGCCTCGCTACGGATCGACACAGCTCGTTGAGAAAGGATTCTGTTTCTCTCTGACCTGACTCAGTATTTGGGGATAACAGATGTTTTCAGCATCGATATCCACGATTCTCTCGAGACCTCTGTCCATGAGATATTGATAGGCGTCCCCGAGATTTGAGCCGGGCACCTGGCACGTCGCATTTAGGGGCGAACCCAAGTTTTTCATGAGATCCAGAATGACGGAGTCCCCGGATTTGCATGCGGAGCTCCTTAAGCTGAAACAATAGAATCTCGTTGGATTCTCGCGATCACTTCTGGGAAATCCGCTTTATAACAAGAGCAGGAAAAGAACCCTGATCTCTCGTCTAAGGATGCTCACCTGGATTTGAGGAGGAGATCCTGACTGTTCCACAGGTTGATGAGAATCGTTCCCGTATCCTGTAGACCGCCGGCGATCGGAACGAGATTATTGATGAGAAGTTGACGTACTGGATCGTCATCCAAGGCCCGGAGATTTCCGAAGTCGGGTGAGGGTTGCGTCAGGTTGTGAACCAAGAAATTCGACACGTTGTAGGGGGGAAGGACATCGAGAACTTCGGTCACTGTCGTTGCGAGCTCCAGGAGATGGCTGAGGTCGTCAGGGATATCGGAGAGCCATAAAGTCGAAACAATGCCTTTAGCGAGTCTGTAAGCGGGAATCAGTTAGGCAGAATCGGCTTCGGTCAATCGCACGGTTGGCCGGAATTACGAATCCACGATCATTTGGAGACATGATGGTATATCTAAGGGCGTATATGACAGGGATCAGAATCGATTTGATCGGATTGAATACTCACGAGTTAGGGAGTCGTCGCTGGTAATTATCCGCAGACTCAGAGAAAGTTGTCCTGAGCATGGTCGTTGCTCGTGGATCAATTTTATGCAAGAGGGATACGATCGATTTGACGGCTTCAGCGAAAGATGAATTCGATTTCTGTTTGTTCAACTGTCGGAGATGTTCGTAAAGACGTCGCGTTTCGTCGCCGCATAGCAAGGCGTGGATACCGGCGCCAGAACTCTCGCCGCAGTTATCGAAAAGTAAACTTTCAAGAGACTCGAGTCGGAAGTCAACGACACTGTTCGACGACAGTGAGCGTGAGAACCACATGGCGGTCTCTAGTAATCTCGATGAACTGACTTGCTTGAGCACTCTGAGCAACGTGGGATCCAAATCCATGGTCGAGTTTTGTGCGAGCTGGAATCGATTCTCGCTTAGATCCCCTAATCGAATCAGAGGACCTAATATTTCTGATGCGGGACGTCCGCATCTTCACCGCTAATCCAAACATAATGCATTCAACACGGAGAGACTCACCATCTGCGCCGATATATCGCCGCTCTTGATGATGAGCTGCCTGAGCTCTGACAAAACTTGCGGATGCTTCCCGAGATTCTTCTCGAAGAGTTCGAGCCTTTGAATTAGGGAAGGTATCAATGAGAAACCATTCCGGAATGATGAATGTATTCGTTGGGTCGGTGAAGAAACTGGTGAATTCTCGATAGATGCTCACCAAGTCTGCGGGTCCTTCAGGGTCTCCGTGGTCAGCCCATTCTGGAGGATGTTCATCACACCGAGTGCTGTTTTATACCACTCGAACACCGAGAAAATCTTATCAGGGGTGAGCTTAGAATCTGGTTCGGCCAGCTTGAGCAGCGCATGTTTGATGGCAGAAACCGCACTGGTCGGCGACTGATCGTCAGCCTGAAATAGGGTGTACGGAGATTGAGCTGCTTGCTCGGGGACCTTCCTCGACACCGAACCCCTGCGGGGCGGGGAACCGCGTCTCGGTACTCACCGAACACTCCGGGAACTCCAAAGCGAGCTGTTCTGCCGAAACGCAGATCACGCTTCTCAACTCGTTGAGCGGTGTAAACGCCGAGCCGTAAAAGCGTCGCAGAATTCTGAAATCTTCTTGACTCGATTGGCAGAAGGTCCCGTTACGGAACCAACTCCTGACTAGAGGCGCAATCTGTTTCACGTGGTTCGGCTGCAGGAGAATCCGGAGACTTGCGTCGATTAATTTCGAGAGGTTTTGAAGGACACTCCAGACGTTTTTGATGAGATTCAGCTCCGAATGAGAGGCTCGATCGCTAGAACATTGGAATTCGCCGAACGACGTCTGTTTCAGAGGCAGGAACGGCTGCAGGGTAGAAATCGAGGTTTGGAGCAAATCGAAGACAGAATCGCTCCCGCTTGAAGTCAACGTAGGTAAGAGAGCGGTTCGCCATAGAGCCACGTCGAACAGTCTGTTCCTGGTCTGCAATATCGAGTTCATTAGGAAACATGATCGGGAGTCTTCCCTTCCGAATTCCGCTGATGGAGAGGATTGAAGCTCGATTACTTTACCTGATTGGCGGACGCGAGGTCCCAAAACGAAGCGAAACCGTCAAGGAATTTCCTTATCATGATCGACGGAGGATACTTCGCTTGGTCGACGCGGCTTCCCGAGAGGAGTCTCTCGCAAAGATCATTGAAATTATCGCTGAGCTTTTGTTCTGCTTCGGAGGTCGAATTGAGCTCCAAGATGGTCTCGAGAGACTCCTGGCAGATCTCGGTGAGGTTGTGCTGGAAGAACGATCTTATCTTCTCGGGCTTGCTGATGGACATTTGCAGGAAGAGCTTCATGAACTCCGGTAGATGTTGCTCGGACCAACGCAGGATGCTGCTCGAGTCGTCGGGTATCGATCCGACAGCGTTCGCGTTCGACATCTCGTGAACCAATTTCAAAGCCACGGATTTCATGACCTCATCGAACTCGAAGTGATTCAGCGCAAGTTCAAGGGCGCGAGTCTTCAGACGCAGAACCTCGGTTTTGGTCGACGGCACACCCAGGAGAACGCGTATTCCGGATACGAAACGAGCGAAGGGTTCGAGACTTCGCTCGAAATTCGCGAATCCCACGGAGTTCAAGTGGTTGAGAGACTTCCGTACACTCACAACGCGGGTTGCTATGTCGTTCCAAGAAACCGATTTGTCCGTGACGTTGCTCAAGGATGCTCTTCCCAGCAGGGAAAGGATTTCTTTGACCGGGGCGGATGTCGACATCTCCGGATATATTGATTCTATGTTAGAGCAGATGCTCCTCTCGACTTCGGCGAAGTGTTCCGGCTCCTCCACGATGAGGTAAGACGAGAGAGGCGAAGACCTCGAGCAGAACTTCAAGTCCGGATCTTTCAGCAACTTTGACGCGTTCAGACCCTTCGTGAGTACGGCATCGGACGCAACGAGAAGCGAATCGATATTGTCGAATAGGCTGTTCAGAGTTCTCTGCAGAGACTGCGAGCCAAGCGCCGACGCCCAAGAAATTTCGCCACTGACAGTGGCCTTGCTCAAGTAGCGACTCATGATGTCAAGTACAGATGAAACAGCCGCGGCGATTCGCTCAATGTGGACAGCATAGTCGGGCCGGAGCAACTCAAAGTAGTCGTACACCAGTTGCGCTGTCGACCCGAGCAAGGAGGCTTGGCTCGTCTCGTCAATCTCATGTTTCAGGTAATGGTCGAGATCCATCAGAGCGTTATCCAGACGATTTTGGAACTCGTACGGAGAGGCTTTCGGAATCGCTTCCATCAGCCCGAATAGCCCGTCCATGGCCTCGCGCGCTGGAGTTGACGAAGCATTTCGGTAGCGAAGGTTCACTTTGCCGGTAACTTTGTCGACGAATGACGGTAATACCTGAGAGTGATATTTCCTCTGAGTGCTGATTGCTCATGTGTTCCGTCCACGCAGGGACCTCATGCTGCCCCCATAAGATAGATTTCTGAGCTCCGTCAAACTTGCAGCTTACCTGCTTGAGGAGCGAGCAAGCGTATCTCGACATGATGCGGGCTTCGTCCGAATGAACCACATATTCTTCGAAGAAAGCTGGATTGCACACATTTTCCTCCCAGAGCAATGGTCCGCCTGAACGTCTCTCAACGATTTTCGAGCGTTTCTCTCGGTCGGCGAGTGTGCGTGCTGCCGCTTCGAGTAACCTTGGGAAGTACGGGAAGGTGTGCGAACCAGGGATTGCGGATGCTTCGGCACCGATCAGATGAACTCCTATGTTGAGCCAGTCTGCATCTAGTCCCACGTGCTCGGCCAGATCGACCAAGTTCCCATTCAGAACACCGAAGAGACCCGACTCAATTTGAGGTGCGTTCTTGAAAACCTGCCGATTTCGTTTGGTTCGGTGAGACTGTTCCGCAATGTACGGGTTCCAGTACCGGGGAGCGGTCAGACAAAGTATATCGGGTTTCCGAAAATTCCACCAGAAAAAGGTCCGGGCTCACCTGGAGCATGTTCCTCAGGGCCGGTATGATCTTATTCAGCTCGCTGTCCTCGAAACTCGGCTTGGCTTCCTCGTTGAAGACCTTCGACGCAGCGTTCAGGAGCGTTTGCAAATCTGCGGAATGTTTCGGCAGAACGTGTCGTCCCCAATCTCGCCAGAGCCGTTGCGCGAACTTTGCGCCCACTCCGTTCCGCACGTCGTTGATGACCTAGAGCGTCACGAGAAAGGTAATGCCGATAGCTCTTACAATGTCTTAAGTCGAGACATATAATCCGTTCGATCCTCGGATCATGGGCAGCAGGGACTCTCATGAATATTCCACGGAATGGACGTACGTTTGTTCCCAACCGAACGACTTCGGACCATTTATTCCTTTGGTGTCCGAACTTCAGCTTCGAAGCTATTCGCACGACCTCAGTCAGTTCTTCGATCTGTTTGGCCATGCGGGGCTGATCGAGTGCCTCCGCTACGCCCGAAAGCGTGCGAATGACTTCTTTGACATCGGCAAGGCTCTGCAGCTTCTCCGCAAACTCGGTGCTCAGAGGGCACTTTCGGGTGAGCTCTTGCGCCACTCGCCTGTCATCCGATATGACTATGCCTGTAGACAGTTGAAGCTCGACATGAGATTTTTGAGGAGATTTGTTACAAATTCACCGGTGCCAGGATGCTTCCGGGTCAGGAGGCTCACGCTCCACGAGAACTCACTGCGTATTAGAGACTCGTCGCATTCAGCGTGTTTTGTGATCAGAGTGTACACGAGCGATGGAAGACTTAGTTTTGACTTGAGCAAGCTGTCCACAATATCTGGGCTTATGGACATTTTATTGAGAAACAACTCGCGCGCTTCTTCTACATCGATGACTAGATTCTCTACGGGAACTCCCGTGACTGCAAGGATTCAAGAAAAAGACGTTAGAAAAATCTTGGGAAATCGTTCTTGGACGAGAAATTCCCCCTCGAATTCGATTAGAAAACTTATCGTGTCGCACGGTGCTTGACGACAGCATTCGGCGTGAGGTCCTCTTACCTAACAATCGTTTAACACTTTGGTGCGCTAGAAGATTTGAAATGGCGTCTAACAATCTCGCCGAAGTCGGGAGCTCTCGGGCAAGACCCAGAAGCTTCCCGTTGTTGAACAACGGGGTTAGGGCTCCAACAAGCGAATCCAACCTGTGCAAGTCGAGAGGCTTATAGGACATTCAATTCGGATGTTTCGGTGCCGGGAGAAATCCCGGAAATTCGAGAGAGAAATTCTACCTCGATCCGGGATAGGTCGGGATATCCTCGAACTGGCTCCTGTTCAGACATTGATTGTCGATGTTACAGATGAGACCTGGGGACAGTCGTGATGATGATCATGATGCTGGATTATTTCAAGACGACATGAATCATCGGACATCCAAGGATACCAACCTTGGATAACTTGTAAGCCCCCGGCCGACGGCAAGGCGCGTGCGTTATAAAAGCATGCACTCTGATGCGTTGCTGGTAGAATCAATCGAAGGATCACCAGTAATAGGAAAATTACTATGGGCCACAAAACTTCTAAACAGAGAATGACCTGAAATTTAATTACTCAGTGAAGCTTCGCCGAATACCTCAGTGCGAGTAGTTTACGACGCGAGAGCTGTCTATCACGGTCAACGACGGGCGTTAGTAATTATTCTCGGCACGTCTAGTCAGCAGAATAATTTTAATTAAACTTATCTAGAACATCAACGGTAAACAGACGAGCCATCCCATCGAATCACTTACCGGTCTCCGCTTCCGGAGGAGTAAGTTCTTCCAGACGACCAGCCGAAGCTGGTCCGTGGCGGCTGTGCCCATCCCCAGCAAGCCGGGTATCAGCAGAAGTCAATGCTACCGGAGATTCATCGCTGATGTTGTGCCGCGTTTCACAGCTGGAAGAAGCAAGGGAGCGTTGCGGAAAGAGGATACAGATTGTTAACCGAAGCTCGCGAGTACACCAGGAAGATTTCGCCTCCAAAATTCATCCGAGCTGCGGGCAGCAGACCGTGGAATTCTCAACGATACAATCAGCACCACTGTTAAACTCTGTAGTTCCTATATTACAATCCTTGTTTTATTTGTGGAGAAAGCGGCGCGATTGAAGGATCCGATGCTTCGAAATAGGGTCCACTCAGTGGGCATTTCGCGCGCGATAAATATAAATCGAACTGTGAGTTTATCCTCGGTGATTTATTTCACCGAGTAGCGACGTGCGTGGCCTTCCCAGAGGAATGCCGATAGGGATTTTTGGATTCGTCGCCCTTCCAGAGGAAATAATTCGAAAAAGTCGCTGAGCGTCGCGACGGATTCCTTCATCGCTTCGGTCACGATCTTGACTTCTGTTGAAATCGATCCTTACTCATCTAGGCAAACAATCATACGATACCGATGATATTTTAACGACTGAAACGCTTCCTCAGACCTCGTCGAAGTCTTCACCAGCTCCGGGACGGAACAGAGAATAAACAGAAGTAGAGGAAAGTCTCCGACGGAAGCTTTCCGTGTTGTCTCTTAGTCTCGAATTCCGATCTTGGGAGCTTGAATTCTGCGGTGACCGACTGGGAGCCGAACGCGTGAAAGACCGTTCCAGCGACCGCGCATTGTGAAAGGATTCCATCATTGTCTCTTAGTGGAAAAATCCGATGAAAACTCTCAACGGAATCGTTGGTGCCTGACCAGGAACAACATCATGACTGGCCGTGACTCTGATAATTGTATTTTGATTTTTGTCGAGCTCAGACTCCTAATATTTGAAGGGTTCCCCGCTGGTCGCGACGACGGCGGCAACGCCGTATTTGAATTCGGTGAGCGCACGCTTGACGTAACATGAGCAGCAGGACCCATTCGTTTCTGGAGAGCTGGTGACAGCGTCGCGACGTAATCGTGAGCCATATCAGCTCTTATCGCGGTTTTCGGTGAGAAAAAAGCGAATCGATGGTCAGCGCAGACTGACACGGGGATCAGGCATCCACCAGATCGCGCCGTATCGTTTCCATGGAGTTAATCGGCCGAGAAAACGTTGAACAGATAATTATGATACCCTTGTTGAGGATGCCCGACGGTTGCTATCGGATCGTCGGGACAGCCAGGAAATCTGACCGAAGGGTAGGGAAAGCTGACAGACTTACGGAATTCATCAAGGTCACGAGCATTTCACTCACAGTAGTTGGACTGATGACCCGAAACTTTGAATACTGATTCTCTCAAAAGCGTTATGGAAGTCCAAAACACCTTGAGTGTCGTTCTGTTGATTTCACGTCAGAGCGAACACGCAGATTCTAAAACCGCTGCACGTGCGTCGGCAGACGAAGGTGCGGAGTTTGTTCGTCCACTCGATCCGATGAAGTGCTTCGAAAACTTCCAGGAAAATCCGTCTATTCCTGCTCCCTCTCAAATTGCCGTATATCCCTACGGAGTCGTCGTCCGTTGTGTTGAGCGACCAGTACAGAATGCGGGAAAACCTGAACGTCGAGTTTTACCGAAGCAAAGAGGGAGACTTCTTCACGCTAGATTACTCAATCACTCGTTCATTTCGCGTTGTCTTTGGGGCTCTGACTCCTTCCATCGGAGACGGGATGCTCCTCTCGATCGGTGATGAAGGAAAATGTCCGTAATTGAGGAGATCCATCACACTGCATTGGAGAAAACTCGATCCTAAGCACCGTATCGGTGTCTGCAGGGGCAACGGACACGCTCGTGATTATTGTTATCCTCATCCGAAAAAGACAATTCCAGAACCGAAAGCGATGGGATAATGATCTATGAATGCCACGAGGAGAACATTTCTCTCAGCATCGGAGAAGCACGCGATCATCGGCATCGAGTTGGACAGCTCCGAGCTTCCAAGAAGAACGCACTTCCAGCATTCAGTATCGCATTGATCAGCAGATCAATCGCTGAAGTCGAGCACTAATTGTCATGAGCACTCTCTCGCATCCGAAATTTCATGAGCGGCTGCATTGCTATGTTGCCTAAAAGCCGAATGATCGGTCAGAGAACGCGGAATGCGTAGAGCCAGTCGCCGGTGACAATCCGAGTGCAACGAGGTCCGGGAAGGTCCGCAAAGTCATCTCTGAGCTTGTTCAATTCGAGATCCTTCTAATTCGAGATCAACGCCGGACGGAGTTCAAAGAGGACGTTTGAATTGCCACCGGACCTTGAAAGTTTCCCGACGAGTCTGTTTTCAGACGTTCCACACAGGCGTTGCATTCTCGTGCTGTTTTTAGGAATGAGAATTTCAAAGGATAGATGTGACCTGCCAGTTCACGGAGTCGATCGAAACCGTCAGCAACTTCCTGTATCGTCGCTCGATACACTGATCGCACGAGAATAAGGATAAATCCCGGATCCAAATCGTTCAAAGAGTTTCAGCAAAAACAGGAAACTGTCAATCGAGTATTACATCAGCCGTGCGTCATAGACTTCTTCGCGATGCTGATTTTGAGTTTCTTCTAAACAAGACATCGATCCTGAGGGGGTTCGCGGGAGAGCTCCCATTGCCAGTCCGATACACAGAGCACCCCTCTGAGATAATGATTATTGAGCTCTCCACGGAGAACGACAGGTGCTGTCGATAGGACCCTCTCATACTCCGCTCTGTACGAGCTCAATCCGCCTTCCGGAGCAGGAATTCGGTTCAGAAGCTCGAAACTCCGTTGCGGACCTTGGTCCTGGTCCCGCAAATGCGTCACGGTCGATGACGTGTCGTCTCCGGGAATATCACGCTCTAGAAGTCACATCAACTTGCGCGCCTCTCTTGACGGAGCTCTCTCCGCGAAGCTAAGGCTCCGCTTGTCCTCCCGAAGGCCCAGGAGGCTCGACGGAACGGCTCGAGCGTCTTCTTTTTTGAATTTTCGCCATGAAGCTCGTTTCAGAATCTCCCCAAAGAATGAGACAGCCGTGGAGATTTCCATGGAATCCACGGGAACACACAAGTAGGATTGATCGCGTCCGTCAATGAATGACGACCGCGGATGTCACAGCTGAGCTTAAAAAGAAGTCCCTGGACTTGACAATGACCGGACTGGGACGAGCTGATCAGAAGGAAGAAGTTCCCCTTGCAGCGGTGGAAAGCGCCCGAATCCCCTCAATTTCCCTCGAGTTTCCTCGCTCCTGACGTCTGCGCCTAATCCTGGGATCCATCGCGGAGAGAGCTTATTTCTAAAAACCCTCGTGGGTAGGCCGGCGCCGATTCTCCTAAAAAAACTAGGCGGCGTCATGTTAGCTTCGGATCCCAAACGAAGAAGAGATTCACAGACGGACACGCTTGCCTCATCGTCCCACCAGGTAGATAGCAATGGGAAAACTCACTTCTTCTCAGCTCTCGGAACTACAATATTTTCCGTTCCAGTCTTAAATTCAGACGTCCGCAAGAGCCGCTCACGAGTTCCGCAACTCGTCCTAATGCGCGAACGGGTCATCAAGGGACATTGGCTTCTAGTCCGATAGAGTCGCGAGAGCTCCTTACGAGAATTCGACGAAACTTAGTCAGACGGAAAAATAAATCGGAAAATCTCATTCGTCACGGGTGGTTGACGGAAGACAGCACTTCATCGTTGTGAACATGGTTCGCGAGCATCTTCGTTCATTTTTCGTTGCCATCCAAGGCTCCATGCTGGAGGTAAATAATTTTTTTTGTCGCTTGATGCTTCTAAATCGCGACGATCTTTGGCTCAAGAAACGAGTGGTATGGCGTCGAACGATACGTCTTCGATTGCTCTGCAGATTTCCATTATCCTAGCGTCGTTCTGCGAGTCCACTGCAGCTCACAGAGTAGTAAATTTTCTGCAGTATGTTTGATTCAAGTGGCCGAATCATTACAGAGTCAGCGATTCTGGACCCCGAAGTTCCAAGGCGACGAGCTCTGCCCAGCATCACGCGAGCCCACTGAATGTCAATGACTCGGCAATGAATTTTTCGGGAGGACGCTCTTAAAGTCCGCAGTATGTTTTCCTTCTTGACGTCGTAGCCATCTCCGCACCTACCCTTTTCATACGGAGCTCAGGGTGAGCGAAGTCCCAGCTAAGGCCTAGGAATGCGATCGGGAGATGTAAGGAGTCCGAACGACAGAGCTCGACCCTGCGATATTGCTCAGCAGTGAGGAAAATCGACAGAGGAACGAGTCGACGGAAAAACGATACCAAGTATAGGCGGAAGGACGCTCTTCCAAGACGGCATGTCATGTTTGACAATCCCTTTGCGTATCGGAAGCGCGCAATTTCTGCTCAACCCATAATCTAAAGGCCGGAAAATCATATGACAGATACGACGGCGCGTCAGTCTCGTCCGTTCGGACGAGATTCGAGCCGGATCATGACGCATTGTTTGCACAATTATCCAACCTATCAAGTCGAAGTTATTGCCGGGTCTGAGTTTTTCTAGCGTGTGTTTGACCAGCTGACCTTGTAGACCTTGAAGACCCTTACGGGCTTTAGAGCGGCGTGCTCTGCGTGAGGCCTCACACATGTATAGCGTCGAATCGCTTTGGTTTGATTGTTTCTCAGAGATATGCACGAAACTACATCAGGACATAGCTTCCAAGTTCGAACGACCGATCACGAAACACTCCGTGAACACTTCCCAAGAGGGTTGAGCTAGGGCCCTCTTCGCAGCTTCTGTATGGAAGATAGGCATCATCCACAAGATTACGAGCGATTATGGCGGCACGTCAGTTCGTGTTGGTTTTACGTAAGCGCTGAACGGACCTCGCTCACGAGACTCGCCATCGAAAGCACCAGAAATTTCTTGTTTATTCACGTCCCGCTCATGATTACGAAGTCAATTCGAGTAGTAGGATTCTTTCATAGTTTCAGTCCATG